ATCATGACCCGAGCTGAAGGCAGATGCCCAACCAACTGAGCCACCCAAGAGCCCCATGAGTTGCTGGTTTTTTGTTTTGTTCTGTTTTGTTTTTAAAGATTTTTATTTATTTATTTGAAGACAGAGATCACAAGTAGGCAGAGAGGCAGACAGAGAGAGAGGAGGAAGCAGGCTCCTTGCTGAGCAGAGAGCCCGATGCGGGGCTCGATCCCAGGACCCCGGGACCACAACCTGAACTGAAGGCAGAGACTTTAGCCCACTTAGCCGCCACCCAGGTGCCCCTGAGTTGCTATTTTTAACATTAAGGTAATAAAACTTTCTTTGAATCAAAGAATCATGAGTCATAATAAATGCTATTAAAAGAGTTAGATTTCCCACTCTACTTTGCAAAATAGTAGAACAAAATAAGGATGGGACATTATGTATGTGACATGTAGGACCCTTAATAGCACATGATTTCTTTACAATAATTGATGTTTAATTAAGATCTATAATGATTGTGACTTTATTTTTTTTAAGATTTTATTTACTTATTTGACAGAGATCACAAGTAGGCAGAGAGGCAGGCAGAGAGAGAGGGGTAAGCAGACTCCCTGCTGAGCAGAGAGCCAGACGCGGGGCTCAATCCCAGGACCCCGGGATCATGACCTGAGCCGAAGGCAGAGGCTTTAACCCACTGTGCCACCCTGGTGCACCGGCACCAGCATGGGGCAAGGGCAGAGGTAAAGGGAGAAGCAGACTCCCCATGGAGCAGGGAGCCTTATGTGGGGCTCATTCCCAGGACCCCGAGATCATGACCTGAGCCGAAGGCAGACGCCTAAATGAGGCTTAGCTGAGGTGGGGCTTGATCTTGGAACTCCAGGATCATGACCTGACCCAAAGGCAGATGCTTACCCGACTGAGCCACCCAGGGGCACCCAGTATGTAATTTTTTAAAAATGTCTTTAAAAGGTCTGGGACAACAAATGCCTGCGCTGATTGAGGCAGTTAAAATATTGGACTCGACCCCTTTGAATCCTGATGTGGATGATGTGGAGACCTTGCCTTCTGCTCATTTTCACTGCCTCATGGGCCTGACGTTGGAGTCCACAGAGCCTGAGCCCAAGGGGCTCACATTCCAGAAGAAAGGGATTTGGGTTCTTGCACGCTCGTAATGCACACTTGCCGGACCAAAGAATGGGAAAGGGAGAAAGATTTATGAGAATCAATTCATATTCCCAGGTTTGTTTCATATGGATCGTTATCTTATTTGGACAGATGTGTCTGAATCCATTTACCCCAAACTCAAATCTATATTAGTCTGCTTATCAAAAGCCAACCATGCTCAAAGGAAGGGACTCCATTATGTTGAAGCCTTTACAAATTCACTCACTAATATTCTTCCCCTAGTGGATGTAGATCGTTTCGGTGCACTTTGAGATAACATTTGGATATAAGTCAAAGAAGTTTCGTTTTCAGCCTAAGGAATATGTATTTGAAAATAAAATAATATTTATACTTAATATAGTGTGAGAGTGCATGTGCTCTGTGCTATTTAAGGAGTCATCTGTGAATAAGAAAAGCACAGCCTTGGTCTCACTGAGTTTATCGTGCACAGCTACCCACAAGAACACAGGCACACGAATGGAAGGTCAGAAGTATGATAGTTCACAGTCTTTTAAGAATACCACAAAGAGGTACCTTCTGGGGCGCTGGGGTGGCTAAGTCAGTTAAGCATCTGCCTTTGGCTCAGGTCATGATCCTGGAGTTCCAGGATCAAGCCCCGCATTGGGCTTCCTGCTCAGGTGGGAGTCTGGTCCTCCCTCTCCCTCCACTGCTCTCCCTGCTCATGCTTTCTCTCTCTCTTAAATAAGTAAAATCTTAAAATAAGAAAAGAAAAGAAAGGGCACCTTCCTAGACCTGGAGAGTCATAAAAAGCTTACTGAGGGGGAATACGCCCGAAGGCAGTACTTAGGAGAGGACTTAGAGGACTTTGGAGTCAAGCTAAGAGAAAGACGGTGCTGGAAACCATGTTCAGAGTGGAAGGAATTGCATGAGCCACAGCCTGGAGTGAGCCAGAGTGCTGACTCCACCTTTGGAGCAAGGGGTGTTGGACTATAGGAAAAGAAACAGCCTCCCCCTAAGACAGACTCAGTAGGAACAGCATCCTGAAGGAAGAGCTAAATTTTAGTTTAAAAATTGAAATGAATTAAGGGGACTATTAAACTTAAAATATGAGGCCGTAGAGCAGTCGGAGCACAGAATTTAAGCACACAAGAAAAAGATACGGGAAGAATGACAGCCGTGAGAGGTGGTTTAGGAAAAAGTAAGACGTTAAGATGGGGATGAGAACAAGGAAAGATGGTAGGAGGGACGTGTGTCCTGGGATGTGGCCCAGGAGATCAGGGAAATGGAGCACAGTGATTAAAGGGGTCCAAACGCCAAAGAGACAGACATGTCCAGATCAGGAAGGTTGAAAACATAGTGAGGACACTCGGACTTTTCAAAGGTCAGAACAGATGGCACTTCCACGGGAATTTGAACCTTGGTTGGATGACGAGAGACTTTGGTCTCACAGGAGGGACTACCTGAATCTTGAATGATTTGCTTGGACTTAGAGAGAGAAGCTCTGAATTTAATGGAGCTCATGGGAAGTCTGGAGGGGTGGCCCACACCAACACTGACTCACATTAAAATCTGCATGATTACCGACCAGCTCTGCAGGTGAGGCGAGGCTTGGAGATGTTTGATACATGTATCTTTAACTGCAACTGACGCTTTTCTTTGAATTAATTCCTAGATGGAAATTTCTGGGTCAAGGATGAATGTTTGATGTTATTGATCTGTATTACCGAATTCATTTCTGAAAAATTTATACCAACTTGTATTCTCATTTGGTTAGGAGTAACCATCTTTCTCTATCCTTAACAATACTGGATATATTAAAAAAATATATTTTTCTATGTCATGAAATTGTATCATCATCCTGAGGCAGCTCTCTATGTATCTCTTTTATTTTGTATTTCTTCCTGCATTGCATGAGTCTTATTCCTGGCTGTCCCAGCAAGGACGTTTGTAGAACCTTGGAAGATACAGTATCTCCCTCTGGGGCAGAGGGCAGATACGTTTATTGTCCAGAGAGTAAAGATAATGGCTCTCTCCAGGTGCAAAGATGGGACAGGTTTGCTAGGAGCCCTTTATGACTGAGGATTCCTTTTCTTAATTTTTTTAAGGATTTATTTACCTATTTTAGAGGAAGAGAGAGAGAGAGAGAATGAGCAGGGGGAGGGGAGGGAGAGAGAAGAGACTCTCAGGCAGATTCCCTATCTAGCACAGAGGCCAATGCAGGGCTCGAACCC